TTCCATTTTGTCGGGCACCGGTGGTTTACATCTGCAATCCTAGCTACTCAAGGGGAAGAGAGCAGGAGGAACATGGTTCAAAGCAAGCCCTGACAAATAGTTCCTATCTTGAAAAAACTCATCACAAAAAAGGGCTGGTGGAGTGGCTTCAAGGTATAGGCCTTGAGTTCAAACCACAGTACTGCAAAACAAATTAAATTTTTTTCTTACTAAATTCTGATGTGTAGACTTAAAGTTATTTAAGCTTTCTGTGTGATGGTCTGGAGTACCTGCATATAAGAAACTATGGACACCGGAAATTCAGAGAGAAAAGAGGAATTGGAGATTTATCTTATGTTGGATGTAGAAATAAGGGCAGGTAAAATTCTGTATGTCCAGTATTGGGTTTCTCTACCACTGATTCTTTGATATGATAGCTGCATTAGTATTTGTTCTGTGGTTTGTTTTTGTTTTTGTTTTTTAAATAAGGTCTTACCCTGGTGCCAGTGGCTCATGCCTGTAATCCTAGCTATTCAGAAGGCAGAGAATGTGAGGATCGTGGTTCGAAGCCAGCCCAGGCAAATAGTTCGAGAGACCCTATCTCAAAGAAAAAACCCATCACAGGAAAGGGCTGGTGGAGTGGCTGTAGGTGTATGCACTGAAGTCAAATCCCAGTACCACGCCAAAAAAAAAGAAAAAAAGATGAGGTCTTAAGGGCTGGCAGAACAGCTTAAGTAGTAAGAAGAGTTCCTGCCTAGCAAGCATGAAGCCCTGAATTCAAACCAGCTACTTGGGAAGCATAAATAGAATGGTCTGGGTTGGCCTGGAATATAAGTGGGGTCTGGATCAAGTGGTAGTGTACTTGCCTAATGAGTACAAGGTCCTGAGTTCAACCCCCAGTACCACAAAAAAAAGAAAGCTGATAATCCTTGGTTTGTAGGTTCTTAATATACAATTTGCCTTTTACAAAGTAAGCAGTACTGTAAATATATCTTTGTGTGACTATAAAAGTTAGTTGGAGGATTTTATTGAAATACCTTTTGTAAAATGTATTGGGAGAGGAATCTTATCAGTCCAGGGGTGTTTTTGTTACTTTGTAGCACTGGGTATTAAACCCAGGACCTCACAGGCTAGGCACAAGCTCTACTACTGAGTTATATATTCCCAGTCCCCAAGTTAATGTGGTGTTTTTTTGTTTTTTTTGTTTTTCAGTGCTGGGGCTTTATACCTTGAGCCACTCCACCAGCCCCTTTTGTGATGGATTTTTTTTTTTTTTTTGAGATTGGGTTTCTCAAACTGTTTGCCCTGGTTGGCTTTGAACCATGATCCTTCTGATCTCTGCCTCCTGAGTAGCTAGGGTTACAGGCATGAGCCACCAGTGCCCGGCTAAACTTGATTCTTTTCTGTTTTTTTTTTTCTTTTGGTGGTACTGGGGCTTGAACTCAGGGCCTCATGCTTGTTAGGCAGGCACTCTACCACTAGAGCCACTCCACTAGCGATTTTTTTTTTTCCTTTATCATTCCCAAGTTAATGATTTTTTATTTTATCATATGTATATGTAAACACAAAAGGTACAATACTACAGTGAATCCCCATGTAGCCATTTTTTTGGTGTCAACCACTATCAGGATGTGGTCTGTTTTATATGTCACTCACCCCTTATACCCAGTGAATTTTATTTATTTATTTTGAGTAGTGCTGGGGTTTGAATTCATGACTTTTTTTTTTTTTTTTTTTTTTTTTTTTGTGGCACTGGGGCTTGAACTGGGGACTACACCTTGAGTTACTCCACCAGCTGTTTTTTGTGATGGGTTTTTTCCAAGATAGGGCCTCTGGGACTAATCCCTCCCCGCCCCCAACCTCAGTCCTCCTGATCTCTGCTTCCTGAGTCTGGCCTGTTTCTTTTTCTTTTTTTTTTTTTTTTTTAAGTTTGAACTCAGGGCCTCAACGCTTGCTAGGCAGGCACTCTTATCACTTGAACCACGCCTGCAGCCCTCAGTAATGCTCAAGCAGGAGTTCCTGAGATCTAACCTCAGCACCACAAAAAAATCAATAAAGAATTAGTGCCCTAGCATCTTCTGGTGAATTGGAGTTGTAAGTAGTTTGTTCTTTTTTGGGTGGTACCAGGGTTGAGGCAGTACATATACCAAACTGGCCTCAAATTTATGTTTCCCAGAGTGCTAAGATTACAGGGTTATCTGGCTAAACTTGAGTTTTTATCTTCAGTATGCTTGAATTACTTTGCAGACATCTCCGTGGCCCATCCTTACCCCAAGAGCAAGCACTTTACCTGTTAAATTCCCAGCCCTTGCAGTCGTTCGTTCTGGTGTTCAAATTGTCTTTGTTTAAGAGCAGGCCCTTGTTGCCTCTTCTTTTGATTGGTCTCACATTATGAAAGCTTCATTTACAGGAATTTTTCCAAAGAAACTCTGGTTCTTTTTAGTTATGAATGATGTTTTGGCACTGCAGTGTTAACTGCTTCCACTTGTTGTCATTAATGCTGTTTTTAAAGTACCTGGGGATGGTGTTTCAATCCTGCAATCCTAGTTAACTTGGGAGACTGAGATCACAGTTCCAGGCCTGCACCTGCAGAAAGTTTTCAGTGGAAAAAGCTGGGCATGGTGGCACATGCCTGTCATCTCAGCTATGGCAGGAAGCAATTAAATTGTTTATTTGATACGATAACATGCTAACATTAGAAGTTGTGTTCTTTATTCACAAAATTTGATTAGACTTCTTTTTAAGAGGCATTTAAAATCTGAAAGCAGGGCAGTATGATGGTGATGCAAGCCTGAAATCCCAGCACTCTAGAGACTGAGGCAGGATATTCAAAAATTTGAGACCAGCCTAGGCAACTTAGTGAGACCTTGTTTCAAAATAAAAATTAAAGGACTGGGGCCGGGTGCCAGTTGCTCAGGCCTGTATCAGGAGGATCGAGGTTCGAAGCCAGCCTGGACAAATAGTTCAAGAGACCTTATCTAGAAAATACCTAACACAAAAAAGGCTGCTGACTGGTTTAAGATGTAGGTCCTGTGTTCAAGCCCCAGTACCGGAAAAAATAAAATTAAATTAAAGGACTGGGAATGTATGTAGCTCAGTGATGGTAGAGTGCTTCCCTAGCATGTGCAAGGCTCTGGGTTCAATTCCTATCACTGCTAAAATGAGTTAATTAAATCTCCTGGGCTAGGAACAAGGCTCAAGTGGTAGAGCACCTTTCTAGCAAGCACAAACGAGTACCATGCAAGATATGAATAAATATAATCTCCTGGGTAAAAAAAAGAAAAAATTTTGCTGGTGTGGCTTATACTAGCTATGTGGGAGGCAGAGATCAGGAGGATCGTAGTGTGAAGCCAGTGCAAGATCCTGGGAGTGGGGATCACAAAAAAAAGGACTGGCAGAGTGGCTGAAGCATGAAGCCCAGTGATGCCAAAAAAAAAAAAAAAAAAAAAAAACTGCCACCTGGGCTGGGTGTATGTAGCTCAGTGAGGGGATGCTTGCCTAGCATTATGCATGAAGCCCTGGGTTCATTCCCTACCACTGCAAAAAAATAATCTGTCACATTCCTACAGAGAGTTGTTATGCTTGTAACTTGCTGATATTTCAAATTTGGAAACTACCATGTGTGATTTTCATTTAAAGATTAGCTTGAGATCTCATATCAGTGTGATGGAGTTCTGTAACAGTTGTATAAAAATCTTTATTGAGCATTTGAGACTAAAACCTTCCATTTATTGCAGGGGAGGATTGTTTTTTGGAGACAAGTTCTCCTATGTTGCCCATGGTCTCAAACTCCTGAAGCTCTTGCCTCAGTCTCCTGAATAGCTGGGATTAAACATTTGTCTCTTAAGTAACTTAGTTAAAGATTACAAAGAAAATAACTTGCTACGTAAAATCTTTCAGGTTTTGTTTTTTGGTGGTGCTCGGGGTTAAACTTGGCTTTATGCTTGTTGGGCAGGCACTGTACTATTTAAGCCACTCTGCCAGTCTGACCCCTTACAATCTTTATTGTCTGTTAATCAGCCATACTTAGATGTATTTTCCTTTTAATGTTTCTTAGCCATATTCAAAAACATAATTTTAATAGATGATTAGAGTCTATGGCCATACCATCCTGAACGTGTCTGATCTCATCTAATAGATGAGATCTAATAGATGGTTAGAGTCAATATGAAGACAGGAATAATGGAACAATATTAAGGAAAAAGCAACTATTGTAGGTTGCTCCTGACATATTTTGGATACACATACAGATAAAAGGTTGGGCATAGTGGTGCACACCTGTAATTCCAGCACTTAGAAGAGTGAAGCAAGAGGACTGGACTGCAAGCCCAAGGCCAGTCCAGAATTTGTTTGCAGAAAAAGTTGTATATAGTCAGAAATAAACTACAGATGAGAACATATTTTAAAACTTAACACATTGTTGTCATTTCCCATACTTTTTGAACCCAGGGCCTCATGCTTGCCTTGTGCATTAGGCAAGCACTCCTAATACTGAGCTATATTCTCAGCCAGTTCCCAGTTTCTAACAATGTAGAAGTAGAGAGAAAGAATACTGTATTTCACCTGGAAATGGATTTAGTTCTCTTCTTGGTTGATGAAATCTATAAAGTTTAATTTTAGGAGTAGGACACAGAAAGAGGAGCACCTGATTTTTTACAGGGCTAACTAAATGCTAAGCATTGTTTGGCTTTTAAAATTCCTACTTACGGAGCTGGAGGTCTGACTCAAGTGGTAGAGCATGTAGGTACAAGGCTCTGAGTTCAAATCCAAGGACCACAAACAATCTAACAAAACACAAAATAAATAAAAATCAATGTTCTTCTGAAACTAAACTTCATCAGAGACTCATTTTAATTTGTAATGTACCTAAAAATGTAGTTTGTGTTTAAAAATATAGTAAGCTGCCTCAAAACAGTGCTATAATGGAGTAGAAAAATAACATTATTTGTTAAACATGAGGATACGTAAATATTCAATTAATGAATTACAGCTTGACTTTTTTTTACATTTTCTCTTTGTAGGCAGCCTGCTTCTGCAAAATGGTACGATCGAAGGGACTATGTCTTCATTGAATTTTGTGTTGAAGACAGTAAAGATGTTAATGTAAACTTTGAAAAATCCAAACTAACTTTCAGGTAATTACCATTTTTACATCATTGGGTAAAAGGTTTAAGATAACTTTGGTTTTCTTATTTCGTTTTTTTTTTTTTCACTGAAAAATGAGGCTTATTTATTTTTTTCCCTTTTTTTAATATAGTTGTCTTGGAGGAAGTGATAATTTTAAACATTTAAATGAAATTGATCTTTTTCACTGTATTGATCCAAATGTAAGTAGTCTTTATGCTTTGCTCTTGATTTAAATTATGAGGAAAATTTCAACAATACACACTGTTACCATAACAGTTCAAAGACTAGTTCTACTTTCTCTATATATAGTTACGTTTTACTGCTGTTTGGACAGTATTCGTGAGGCTTGTCTTAATCTAAGAATAGAATCTTTAAATCATTCTGTAGGGTTACCATATTTTAAATGTTTAAAGGTTTTATTCACCTTGCATAGACAAGGGGAAAAACCCCACCAAGTTAAATTAGAATTTGTGCGTTTGCGGGGGGAGGGGGGTTGGGGGGGTTGCATTGGATAGTTGGAATTTTTTAATAGTCAAGGGCCTGCTTCTTTTAAGTAAGTCTGGAGAAAATGAACATTAGAAAAGAGCCAGACATGGTGGTACACAGCTGTAATCCCAGCACTTGCAGGGCTGAGGCAGGAGGATTGTAAATTGGAGGCCAAAATGAGCTATGTAGTAAGACTCTGTCTTAAAACCAAGAGCTGGGGGTATAGCTCTGTGGTAGAGCACTTGGCCCTGGGTTCATAAGATCCCTAGCACTGTGGGAAGTTGCGGGAGGGGAGAAGTTAGAAAAAAGGAGAGGTGAGAAAGGACAGGCTATTGTCTATCTTATAGTGATCCTAGGAAGATAAATGGTATGATGATACTTTCCTTTTTAGGATTCCAAGCATAAAAGAACGGACAGATCAATTTTATGTTGTTTACGAAAAGGAGAATCTGGCCAGTCATGGCCTAGGTTAACAAAAGAAAGGGCAAAGGTAAGTTTCTCTGTCTCTTATTTTTGTGTTTTGTTGTATATTTTTAATTCAAGTAATATAATAAAGGCACACTTGTTTATGTTTTCATGGCTAAATATAAAAGTTCATTCTGTATTCTCTGTCACCAGAAAATCAGTCACTAGTTGATGCATAATATTTGAGAGACATACTTTGCACTGAGCACAGTGGATCAAGCTTGTAATCTTAGTTGCTGGGGAGAGGGAGATCAGAAGGATTGCTTTTGGAGTTATTCTGGGCAAAAAGTTCTAAAGACCCAGCACAACCACCAGTTGGCTATTGGTGGTTCTCGCCTGTCATCCCACCTACTTGGGGAAGCACAGTAAGAGAATCACGGTCAAGACTGGCTGGGCATAAAGTGAGAATCTGTTTCAAAATTAACTAAAAGCAAAAAGGGTTGGGGAGCACAGCTCAAGTGGTAGAGTGCCTGCCTAGCAAGCATGAGTTCAACTTCCCAGTACCACCAAGAAAATGGGTGTACCTCAGTAGTAGAGTGGTGGTTTCACATGTACAAGGCACAACAAAAAGAGAGCTGCTGTGGTGGCATGCCTGAAGTCAGGAGGCAGAGGCAGGAGGCTAATGACTTCAAAGCCAGCCTGGGGCTAGACCGTGTCTCATAAAAGAGACAGCAAGCATTCTACCCCTGAGCTATAACCCCAGCCCTTGAGTTTTTTTGAGACAGAAAAAGTATTTGTAATTTACTTGGCTGTCACATAGGATCATAGTTTGGTGTTGCTGAAAAACTTCTAAAAATCATTCCTACCAATAAGTTTTTGTTGTGTAATGTAGGTTTTACAACTAAAATAAGATTCATGAAACTAGTAAGTTCACACTGGTTTTTCTATTTTTTGTGCTAATTGCATGTCCCACTATAGTTAAAAAAATGTGTTAAGGTACAAGCTAACCTAATCATAGGGTGATGTTTACATTTATCTGTAGCTTAATTGGCTTAGTGTGGATTTCAATAATTGGAAAGACTGGGAAGATGATTCAGATGAAGACATGTCTAATTTTGATCGTTTTTCTGAGGTAAGGTCTTTTAAAGGCATTCTCCATCTCTGACCCCCTGTACATTTCTATGTAGTCATTTTAATTTGGTTTGAAGCATTTAATGGATGCCAGATCTTTGGGTTTTTTGCGAGGAGGGTGTTACTGGGGTTTGAACTAAAGGCCTCACACTTGACTAGGCAGGTGCTCTGCCATTTCAACCACTCCACCAGTCCTAGGAGATATGGTCTTAATTTTTTTTTTTTTTTAATGGTGCTGGGAATTGAACTCAGGGACTTGTGTGTGCTTGGCAAGTCTACCCCACTGAGCTACATCCCCAGCCCCGACTTTTTAAATTAGTGGTTTAAAATTGACCTATAAAGACAAAAAAACTGCTATCAGTCAATCCAGCATTGAGACAGGCTTTTTAGAGTATGCAACAATTGGCTTGCATTTGGGAGCTGAATTGTACAACTATAAATACAAGAATCATGGTGAATTCACACTCAGATGTGTACAGGGATATTGCAATACTTTTAGTTTACAAATTATAGGTAAAGGGGCTTCAAGTGTCAAAAACTAAGTTAAGAGCTAAGTTTCTGGCTTTGTGTATTTAACTGCTTATTTAACATCTCACATGGTTCTGGCACCTTGATTTCAACAGGAAGAGAGGACATTGTATTCATGTGATTCTCCTCACTTGTGCTGCTCCTTATTGATAGTGACTAATGCCACTGTTAACCATTTGTGCAAGTCACAACTTTGTAAATATTCTTATTTATTGCAGTATCTTTGTTGTTCTTACTTTACTTCCTAAATAGCTACTGAATTATTTACATTCTAGCTCTAATGATTGGTGTTTGTATCCTCAACAGCTAGCATTGTGCTTGGCACATTTTGAGCAGTTTTCCTGCTCACAGAAACTTAGTAAAGGTATTCAACAGTGCCTTCAGAGGCAGGGGAAATTTACTTGTGTTACTCAAGATTGTGGGCTGGCAATGTGGCTCAAGCAGTAAAGCACCTATCTAGCAAGTGTGAAGCCCTGAGTTCAATCCTCAGTACTGCAAAAAACAATAAAAGACTAGAGTTGCACAGAATTTTTATATTAAGGGTTTTGACCATGTATCTTTATTATTGAAGTAAGAATACTTAACATGAGAGCTCTCCGATTTATAAGTGCATGGTACAGTATTGTTGAGTAGGCACAGGAAATTACAGCAGATCTACTCATCTTATAGCCAGAACTTAGCAACCTATTGAACAGTATCCCCCATTTTCTCTTCCCCACCACCTCATAGTAGCTGTGATTCCACTCTTGTTTCTGTGTTTAAATATTTTAGATCCCTCATATAAGTGGAATTGTTCAATAATTGCCCACTTAGCAGAATGCTCCCCAGGTTCTTCCTTTCATCCATGTTGTTATGTAAGACAGTTTCGGTTTTTTAAATTTTGTTTACAAAGGTAGGTATGCTGTATAAATGATTTTTTTTCCCTAAAATTTAAGTTATTACTGAAAAGCTTTAATTTGGGGAGATGAGTCCCTCCCCGTCTGATGATAGTTTACTCTTTGGTTACCTGTATCTCTTTAAATAACATACTGTGTTACAGACAACTAAACATGAAAAGTCCCGATTTATTGTAAATATTCAAGGACGTTTTCCACACCATGTATTGTTATTTGTGGTGTAACTAATATTTAGGCCTTTGATACGCATTAACTATTCTACCAAAAATACTGTTTTTGTTTTGATTATATTGTACTGGAGGTACAATATGGTATTTACAAAAGTGCTTACAATATAATAGTTAAGTTCACCTCCTCTATCATTCACCTTTATCTCCACTCCCTTTCTTAGAATAGTCTCATTTTTCCATTTTCATACAAAGCCATCATATTTCTACCACATTCACTCTCCTTCACTCTTTCCTTAATATTCTTCCCCTTCCCACTGGTACCAAGCCCACACAGGACTTTTTACCTTCCTGTACTTCATTTTGGGTGTGTGTGTGGTGGTGGGGGGGCACATTTTGGACTGGTGGAGTGGCTCAAGTGGTAGAGTGCCTTTCTAGCAAGCATAAAGCCCTGAGTTCAAACCCCAGAACCACCACCAAGAAAAAAAAAAAGACATTTTTGTTTAAGGCAGCTATATATACAGGGAGTTTCATTATGACATTTCCATGTGTATATATATATATTACATCCCGATTTGGCTCACCCCCTCCATGTTTGTCCTTTCTACCTTAGCCAGAGATCTTTATTTTCAGTCATTTATGGCTCTTCATCATAATACACATACCATGTAACTTAAGATGCAAAGCTTTTAGAACTACAACTAAATTCATTTGTTTCCCTTCACCTTCAGAGGTAACCACTATGCAGAGTTTGTGGGTGTGTGTTACTGGGGTTTGAACTCAGGGCCTCATGCGTGCTAAGCAGATGCTCTACCACTTGAGTCACACCTCCAGCTCTATACAGAACTATCATCCATAGATATGTTGTTGGACGAATTTTAATAAATTTACTTTGCTTCAGGGAGGACAGTCTCAATTTCCTATAAGTTTTCAGGATTTCATGTAATTACCTATAATAATCCTTCTTCAGAAAAGAAAGTACTTAAGTTTCTTCTGTATTTTCATTTGTGGAAACCTGTCACCAGGCTTCGCGTTTACTCTGGAATATGTAATCTAATCAATAGGGCTTAATTTAACATGTTTAAAACTCATTTTTACACTTCAAATAGATGATGAACAACATGGGTGGTGATGAGGATGTAGATTTACCAGAAGTAGATGGAGCAGATGATGTAAGTCTAAATTCTTTTTTCTGTTTAATAGGAACAGTGCATTTGTAGATCATTTTATGTAGATTCAGGTTTTGTTTTGTTACTTAACTAGTAGTGGCGTGTGTGGGGTTTTTTTTGTTTTGTTTTTTGATTTTTTTTAAAGATAATTTTGTAGGGAAAAGCAGTTGTTTAAATGTGCCCGTTTTTGAGGGACCAGGTACCTTCTAGGGAACTCATGTTCATGAATCATTTCTAAAGGGACCAGATTTCATAAGAATCATTGCATTAGGGGGTGGGGGCAGGGGGAAGAAATGACCCAAGCATTGTATGCACATATGAATAATAAAAAAATTAATAAAAAAAAGAATCGTTGCATTGAGTTGTCATATAACTTAGGAGTTAGTTTAGGGATTACTTTAAGACTGTAAGTTAAATAAGCTTAAATTTTAAGCAGGTTATTCAGAGACTATAGTAAACGGTAGGTAGTGTGGATCTATGAGATGAGGAGGATGAATTAGTCTACTTTCAGCATTCCCCTGCTCTGGCATCCTTTTAACATTTTCCAGACAGTTACTTTCTGTAGTTTGGAAAATACCTGGACTATTTTAATATCTAGATTAAAATTTACTTTCTATTATTCTGGTTTTTGTATTGAGCTATTTTTCCTTTATGGATGTCGAGAGAGAAGAGGACAATTTAGAGAGGGATTTAAAGGGTGAGCTAAAATTTTACCAGGAAGTACACCACCGGTTTTTACAGAAAGATAGGTACTCAACTGTACTTCCATTTACCTTATGTAAATTTAGGCCTTAAGTCATATACTTGTGCTTTGGCTTTTTAAGGTAAACTAACTCATCAGTTAGGGGAGGAATAGTTGATCAGCTTGGTAACTTTTTTCTTTCCTCTTCTGCAGGATTCACAAGACAGTGATGATGAAAGTAAGTGTCTTTGTAACATAAGTTTCTACAGAGATGTCTCATATCAAAGACCAAACTTGCAAAATAGAGGTGTCAACTTTATAAAATTCTTAAAGAAAATGATTTGTCTTTATGATGTTGAATAAATACCCAAAGTAGAAATGTAAATGATTTGACCTAGTCAGGCAAACTATTTAATAGGAAACACTTTGATTCTATTTGGCTGCTTTCCTTACAAGATTTGAAAATTAGTAGATTCTCTTGTATTCCCCTCATAATTCATAATAAATGATTTTTTTCTTTCAGAAATGCCAGATCTGGAGTAAGAAATACTGTCATCACCTGGATATTGAGAAAGAAAGATAACTTCTGCAAGATTTCATAATTGAGAAAATTCCTGAGTTGATAGCTCTAAAGGCAAATGCTGTTTTTGCCTCCTATAACCCATTTTTCAACCTGTTTGTTTGTTTTTTTTTTTTTTTTTGGTTTTTTTTTTTTTTTTTTAAGGCTTCACTAAGGGTTGATAATGTACCATTGTATGGGGCAATTTTAAGTCAGCTAAGGCAATATCCTTATGCATGAACATATCCCAGACTTCATGAAGCTGTTGAGGTCCTAGGCAATTGATATAGCAGTTGTGATAAAGATATTTCACCTAAGTCTCCTTTACTTCATAACATAGTTACTGACTTGATAGGAAGCTCTCAGCTTAGGGAAAGATAACTAAATGTTAGATTCTAGAACACAGACTCAAAAGTGGCTGAAACAATTGGCTGATACTTTAAACTGATAACTTGGCCATTCCTCTGGTGTATCTTTCAGGGTTGTTCCACTGAAGTTTATTTAAAAAAAAAAAATTTCCTTCACATTATTGTACATAAGTGATCACTTGTCAGTGTTCCAGATGTATCTTAGCTAAAACTAGTGAATGCCCTAACTTAGATGGTTTTTGAAGCCGATACATTTGGTATTGTTTGGCCCTTAAGCTTTTCCATCTCTTAGCATGGAGGACGAAGAAAGCTGTACATTGTTGCTTGAGAGTCTGTACATTTTAGACCAGATTTGTATTTGCACTGTCAGTATGGCAAATGAGTGAGAAAATGTTAATACACTATTGGATTTTTTTTAATTTCTTTTTTGATTCAGCTTATAATTGGGCTGAAAAACCTCAATTTATGTTCATGACAGTGGGGATTTTTTTAAATGTCTACATTCTTTCTAATAAACTGTTGGAAGATTTCTTGGCTGTCCTTTTAAGTGTCTGGTTTACTGTATTTTCATGTATTTACCATTTACTGGAATGGAGTCTTTATTTTTGAGGTAGAATTTGGGACTATTCCTTTGTTTGGAAAAAGGCTTGCTGTAATGTCACAGGAAACCTTTATAAAGTGGATCTGTAATAGAAAATTGTAGATGCACTTTGCAGCGGCTGGAAAAGAAAAGTGTTGTGATTTGATTGAAATAAAACTAAATGTGTTGTCCTCCTATAAATCTTTGAGCTTCTGCATTTTGGCAGTTTTTATTCCCTCATAGCTTCTATATTTTCCTCATAGTGTAGAAATGCTTTGTACTTAAGCACTTTTTATCAGATACTCAGGACTTGAATTGCAGGCAGTATGTTAATATGCTGGTGATACAAAGATTAGTCTCTCAGGTGATTACTGTATACAGATAGGCCAGGTCAAGGGAACACACTGGGAGGAATGGTAAGATGGAAGGGGGAATAATAGGTATATATGGTATTAATGGAGATTTTTTTTTTTTTTTTGAGGGGGGAAGCCTTTTTTTTCCTAGCTCTGTTCAGAATGACATTTTCCCCTCCCAAATGGTCTCACTTTATAGCCCAGACTAGCCTCCATTTTTTTTTTTAATTTTATATTGTATAAAGGGGTTAATGTACTGGGGCTTGAACTCGCAGCCTTTACCTTGAGCCACTCTACCAGCCCTCTTTGTGATGGATATATATATATATTTTTTTTTTTTTTTAATTTGTTAGTGTCAAACTATTTGCCTGGGCTGGCTTTGAGCCCTTATCCTCCTGATCACTGTCTCCTGAGTAGCTAGAATTATGGACATGAGCTTACTGGACCTGGCTTATCAGCGCCCAGTTGAAAAAATGTTTTAAAACCCCTTGTTTCAGTCTCGAAAGAACTCTGAGGGGATCACCGGTTTCCGGGTCCCCCTGCGTTCTCCAATATGCAGTCTTTCTCATCTCTTTTCTCCAACTAAATTCTCTATAAATAAAATCTTTCCGACCTCTGCAAAAAAACCAAAAAACTCTGATGTGGATACATTGGCTTAATACCAAACTATTTTACTGTGGCATTAAAAATAGAGCAGAGGCTGGGCGTCAGCCTGTAATCCTAGCTACTTGGGAGGCAGAGATCAGGAGGATCTTGGTTGGAGGCCAGTCCAGGCAAATGGTTCTCAAAATACCCAACACAAAAATGAGTGGCTCAAGCTATAGAACACGTGCTTTGCAAGTACAAAGCCCTGAGTTCAAATCCCATTCCCACCAAGAAAGGAAATTAGAGCTTGGCAAATTTCTGATTATATTCTGTATGGGGGGTATTCATTGTAACATTAACGTGCTTATACTGTATCTTCTATTCATCCTCCACCATCATTCTTATCCTTCTCCTCCCCCCTGTCCCTGGGGTATTTTTTTTTCCCCCCAGGGGAGGGGATTGGGGTTTGAACTCAGGGCCTCCCTTTTGCTAAGTAGGCGCTCTTAACCCTTTTGGGTATTTTCAAGACAGGATCTCTTGAAATACTTGCTCCAGCAAGCTTCGAACTTCAATCCTCCTGATTGCTGCCTCCTGAGTAGCTAGGATTACAGAGATGAGCCACCAGCTCCTGACCTATTTAGAGTTTTAAATCTTTGTGTTAAAACGTTTGAAAAGGATTTCCTTGATTCTTACTGCTTAGTCAGGTACAGGCCTCATGCATGGTACCTGATTCCTCTCAGTTGCAGTTCAGAGCATTCCTGGGTGAGTGCAGGTAGCTCATACCTTTAATACTAGGTACTTGGGAGGCTGAGGTTGGAGGAAGAGATTCAAGAATAGCCCACACAAGTAGTTCATGAGACCCTCATCTCCAAAATGAGCAAAATGGACTTGACAGCATAACTCAAGCTGTAGAGAGCCTGCTGTGCAAGCAAGAAGCTCTGAATTTGAACTCCAGTTCCACACAAACTACTAAAAAAATGAGTTGATAGACCAAAACATCAGGAGTATCAAATCTGAGCTGTAACCAGTATTGCTTTGAGAGGGCTCCCTTAGTAAGAAAAGAAATGCTATATTCATTTTCCTAAACCTAGATACTTTATAGGAGGGTAGGTAATTAGTTACTATAGTAACATGAAGATTTTTTTTTTTTTCTTGCCACTTTAGTTTTGGGCTAGTTTTCTTTTTAGCAGGAGTTCTTTTTGACATATCAAGAAAGTGCCAGTGGCTCATGACTATAATCCTAATTACTTGGGAGGCAGGGATCGGGAGGATCGAATTTGAAGCCAGCCTTGGCAAAAAGTGAGAACCCTATCTTGACCCAATAAAGAAGGGCTGGTGCAGTGGTTCAAGTGGTAGGGTACCTGCCTAGTGCCTAGCAAGTGTGAGGTCCTGAGTTAAAAGTCCCAGTGCTGCCAAAATAATAATGGACTTGATAAATATTTTTTTTCAGCTTCCCCAACATTATACCAACCATGAGGAACAGGTGAGGGAGGAGGCAGACTGGTAACCTTGTGGAAAGTTCTAGTTGGCTGTGTTAAGAGGGACTTTGAAGAGATTCACAACTACAGATGAGGTTGGAGGTAGGTTAAGACTTCCCACCTGAATCGCAGGCAGAAGCTAGCAACCTGTACAAAATGTATCCTGCTTTTCAGGCTTGTGGACCTCATTGAAACAGTAACCATACTCTTAGTTACATATGAATATCTATTCTTACCAGCAAAGGACGTTGTATGCCATCACTAAATAACCTGGTCCTCAACACCTGACTTGGTGAAGACATAAAATAGGTGTTTAGCTGAAGAGACCACCCACAGAGTGGGAGAAAATATTTGCCAGCTACACATCAAAGGTCTGATAACCAGATATATAAGGAACCCAAAAAACTAAACTCGCCCAAAATTAATGAACCGATAAAAAAATGGGCAAGTGAACTAAAAAGAACTTTCTCAAAATTCAAATGGCCAAAAAACACATGAAAAAATGCTCACCATCTCTAGCCATTAAGGAAATGCAAATCTAAACCACACTAAGATTCCACCTCACCCCTGTTAGAATAGCCATCATCAAAAATACCACCAACAACATGTTGGCAAGGATGTGAGGAAAAAGGAACCCTAGTTCACTGCTGGTGGGAATGCAAGCTGGTGCAACCACTCTGGAAAAAAATTTGGAGGCCTCTTAAAAATCTAAACAGATGTGCTATATCCAGCAATACCACTCTTGGGGATATACCCAAAGGAATGCGACACAGGTTACTCCAAAGGCAATTGCACACACACCTATGTTTATTGCAGCACTATTCACAATAGCCAAGATGCCCCACTGTCGATGAATGGATTAAGAATGGAATACTACTCAGCCATGAAGAATGAAATATTATTTGCAGGTAAATGGATGGAGCTGGAGAACATCACCCTGAGTGACATTAGCCAGGCCCAGAAGACCAACAATCGTATGTTCTTCCTCATATGCGGACTTTAGATCAAGGGCAAACACAACAAGGGGATTGGACTTTGATCACATGATGAGTCGAGAGCACACAAGGGAGGTATGAGGATAGGCAAGAAGCCCCCCCCAAAAAACGAAACAAACGATAGCATTTGATGTCCTCAATGCAAAGGAACTAATGCAGAAACTTTAAAGTGACAGAGGCCAATAGGAGAAGGGGACCAGGAACTAGAGAAAAGATTGGTTTGAGAAGAATTTAGAATGTAACATATGTATAGGAAAGCAATGCGAGTAAACTCCCTGTACAGCTATCCTTATCTCAACTAGCAAAAACCCTTGGTCCTTCCTATTAATGCTTATACTCTCTCTTCAACAAAATTAGAGATAAGGGCAAAATAGTTTCTGCCCGGTAGTAAGGGGATAGGGAGGGGGTGGGGGGGATGAGGAGAGAAATGACCCAAACGTTGTATGCACATATGAATAAAAGAAATTTTAAAAATAGTTGTTTCGGCCGGAATCTGGTGGTTCACTTCCGTAATCCTAGCTACTCAGGAGGCAGAGATCAAGAGGATTGAGGTTCAAAGCAAGCCAGGTAAATAGTTTGCAAGACCCTATCTCAAAAAAACCCAGTGCTAGAGTCCTTGCCCTAGGTTCAATCCCCAACACTGGGAGAAAAAAAATACCCACCTTAGCAATTGGAGAAATGCAAAGTAAGTCAATGATTTTAATGCCCTATTAAAGTTTTGGCAAGGATGCTGAGAACATGATAGTTAGCCAGAATCTTACTTAAATGGAAATATTTAAGCCAAATTTCTTTCTAGGGATCTATATTAAAGGAGTACTTGGTAGTATACACAGTGAAGTCACATGTAAGCTTTTTTCATAAAGTGTTGCATGTAATAACCACTTGAAACAACTCAAATGACCATTAATGGAATGAGTTACAATAATGTCATTACAGCATAATATGCAGTCACAACTTTAAAAAAATTTACGTGTACTGACACAAAAACTCCAAAGATAACCAGAAAACTTTTTTTCCATACTGTATTTCCATTGAGAATGTGTACATTATATGTGTTTGAGATGTACAGAGAGTGAGTGAGATGTATGTAAAAATTTTAAAATTTTATTTTTGGGATAGTGACTCAATCCTGTAATCCTTGCTACTTGGGAGGTAAGAGATTGGGAAGATTGCAATTAGAGGCCAGTCTGGGGAAAACATTCTTGAAGACTGCATCTTAACGAATGAGTGGACACTGTGGTGTATGCCTATCATCCCAGCTTCTCGGGAAAGCACAAATAGGAATAGATCAAGGTGTAGGCTCTGAGTTCAAGTCCCAGTATCACTAAAAAATAGTAATAACCAAAAAGTGGGACAATTGTGGCTCACTCCTGTAATCCTAGCTACTCAGGAGGCAGAGATCAGGATTGTGGTTTGATGTCAGCCCCAGGCAAATAGTTCCTGAGACCCTATCTCAAAAAAACACATCACAAAATGTGGCTCAAGCAGTAAAAGCAACAGGTTAGCAAGGCCCTGGGTTCAAACCCTAGTGCAACCAAAAATACCCCAACAACAACAAAAAATAAGTAACATAAAAATGACCAGAGGAATGGCTCTAATGGTTGTCTCTCAAGCATGAGGCCCAGAGTTCAACCCTTGCTACTGGAAAAAAAACAAAAGGAGCTGGGGATTGAACCTGGGTCCTCCCACATGCTAGCAAATTACTCCATCACTAAGCTACACCTCCAAGCCCTGTAAAACATTTTTCCATTGTTTATTTCTGGGAAAGGAAGGGAAAGAGATGAATGGTGAATG